TATTTAAATAATATGCTTTACCTGGCTACCATTGTTTTGAAAACACATTTCAATGCGAGTCCTTCACTGAGGAAGGACACGTATAAACACAGCTTTGGTTACGTGTGTAATGGCATTGGTGATATGTTTATCTTTCCTGCGTATAAAAAGGTATGGGACACCCTGTAATTTATATCAGTATTTTAGTTAAATGATTGATTCAGTTAAAGGTTTACTGCGTGATACTCTCAACAATGTGTTGCACCAAATTCTTTGGTAAAGCTGTGAACATAAAAAAAGGGGTAGAGAAACTAGCCTCATACAGGAGAGACAGAAAGATATGTGCGGAAAGCTTGAGCAGCAGGGTTACATATAATAGTATACGCCAGTGATTCCCAAACTGTGCGCCGCGGTACCCTAGGGAGCCGTGCCCTCTTCACAGGAGCACCACGAAATATTCGAAGATACACCTGTTTAAAATTTTTTTTATCTCTTACATAAGAATAGTCATACTTTTACTTAGGTTAGGGTGCCGGGGAAAAATTTTAGTTGATAAAAGGCACCACAACTAAGAAAAGTTTGGGAAGTCCAACAAGAATCCTTAGGCGCATGATGAGGAGAGAAGCCAAAGGTGCTGCACTGGATTCCATCCCTGATATTGAAAGGATTGCACAGGAGAGAAGGGAATGGAGAAATAGACTGTGAGCCCTATGTGACATTAAAATGGCACAACAACATAGTGAATGAAAACAACAGCTTCATCAAAAATTGCAAATGACAGAGAGGATGATCACTGATGTCTTCTTCAGGTCAGTCATTAGAAAAAAAAATAAGCATTAGTAATTTTTATAAGTTGTAAGTATTCTTCTTTTTCTTCTCTTCCACCACGTACCTCAGCGAAGTGTTAGGGGGAGATGTAATGTTCGTTGATGAGCTCTGTCAAGAGCACTATTGAGACTGATGTTCATTTCTGTAAGGCTGTTCTTATGCCATCACTCCATATTTTCCGAGGTCTTCCACTTGCTCTATACCCGTTGTAACATTTAATGTGGCTCGCTGTGGCAGATAGTATCGAAGCATTCTTGTTAGGTGTCCAAACCACTTAATTTGTCATTAAACTTGTAAGACTGGCTTTATAAAATAACAACACGTGTATATTGTAAGACATAACCAACTGAAATTGAAACATGAATTCCCACCTGGATATTTTAATTTTTTCTCTACATCTTCCTCCACCCATGTTACAGATGAAGAAAGAGCTTGGCAGTTTTGGCCCAGAATTCTTTGAAGAAATTGAGGATCTGAAGTACAACTACAAACAGAGTGTTCAAAGGAATGTACTGCTGGAGGATAAGCTGAAGCAAATCGAGAGGCAGTTTGGCCTGTCACTAGATGTACTGAAATAAATCAATAAATGTGTGTGAAGTACTTTTTTGCTGTTTATCTGAGAATGTTTTGCCTCTACAGTTTTCATAACCTGTGATGTTAGATGTTACTTTCACTCATTCATATAGCATTATTTTGTTTCAGTCCCATTTGTTGTACAGTGTATTCGAAATGCTTTATATTTTAATACTTCTTTAGTTATTTAGAAACTTGTTTTGTTAATTCTTTTCGCTTTGTATTTTAATACTGTTTTAGTTATTTAAAAACTTGTTTTGTTAATTCTTTTTTTGTTTTATTTCAAATTTCTTTAGAAACATCAGGTACTTGAATTGATTTATTGTGATGATAACAGAGATTCATTATGTCAATGTGTGGGCTCTGGGGACCCATTCTAAGGTGTAAAAAGGGGTGGGGGGGGGGGGGACAAGAGTAGACCCACTACAAACATGCTGCAAAAGGTAACTAATTAAAAGATTGCTAAAACTGGGTGTGCTGGGTAGAAAAGTGCAGATATCCCAGTCTAGCTGTAAGCCACCTTTGTTCACCCTTTTAAGGACAAATACGGAAGAAGGATTAAACAGTGTGCTAATTTTAATAGTGAAATTTCATTATCCTGTCCTGATATATGGCAGTGAATCGTGAACAATTAGACGATTAGTGAAAAATTATGTCAAAGCGGTTCAGATATGGTTTTGTAGACGAATGATGAGAACACCCTGGACAGATAAAAAGAGTAATGAAGACGTCTTGAAAGAAAGTGACTCACAAAAAGAACTGATTACTTGCATCAAAAGGAGACAATCTACATTCTTTGGTCAAGTGATGAGAATGAGAAAACTGGAGTACATCGTGACAGTAGGGAAGCTGGAGGGGAGGAGAGGCCAAAGGAAACCAAGAGAAAAGATGATGGATAGTCTGACATCACAGCATGGAGATCATCTTTGCCAGAATTTATTGACAGTACATGAGACAGAAATTTGTGAATAGTCACGACTACCAACTCCACACGGCATGGAATATAAGAAGAATTTTATTAACAGGGAAACAAGTTTTGTTTTTCTGTATTTGTCTACCAAATAGAAAAAAATTTGCCTCAGTAACCAAAGCCTTGTTGAAATGCCAGAGACATTTTTTTTTAAATTATATTTTTGAAATATTTCCAATGATCAGATAGCAATCTCTGAAAATGATAACTATTCATTTTTTTGTTGACAAAGTTAGGAAATATATTGTTTTGTCTATAATATCTCTAAAAACACAATATTTTATATTAATAATGATGTAAAAATTATTTCAAGGTAATATCCATGAAAGCATATTCCAACTGATTCTGTACATAGTAATCATGTACGTTTATGTTAATTCAACGGATCAACATCATGGCACATGGGTGCAACCCATAAGTGCTCTGTTCTACTTCCAACTCAAGCTTGAGTCTGAAGAATCTCTGCGCAGTGCAAGAACTCGGTTGCACCGGCTAGGATCCTGAAATATTTTGGGTAGATTTTTAACTCTAAATTTTGCCAGGGCAGCACCGTTAGGTTACTCTTTTTGATTTCCAACCGCCAAGGTATTATTTACGTGCGAAACAATACACACATGCCTCCGGTCTTAATTGAATGAATTATTATTTTGAAGATAAATAAATAGGCTATTAGAAAATATTTATCTTCAAAAAAAATAATCCATTCCATAACACATGTTGCAAATTTATTAAACTGTATTTCAATTTGTGTATAAAATTTACTCAGTAACAATTGTTACCACCGACCGGCCACACCAGACTCACAAAAATTGGAATTCCCGTTTGAGCGGTATGGCCTTATATCTGGAGTTGGCTGTGGTTTTATCCTGTCCTTCTTCTTCTTCAGCGATCTCTGGTCATGCGCATAATCCACTGTGGGTCATAAACTGGGATGTCTTTTCAAGGTCTCTTAGGTTTCCCCAAAGCTTAGTTGTCAGTTCTACTGGGTGTTGCCATATGTCGCTCCGCAGCTCCGCCAGGAGAGGACAGTCTTGCAGGACATGTTCTGGAGTCTGTTCAGCACGAAGACACTGGCAGAGAGCTGTTTGGCTCATACCTAATTTATATGAGTGTTTATTGAGTCTTATCCTGTCCAAAGCTAGCATCTTTTTCTTCAAAGAATATTTTTACATTCATTTCCTCTTTTTATGATGAAAGTCTTTTCCTCTGCTCAGACCCGTGCAAGGCAAGCAGTGCAGCTGGGATCCAACCCCGCGGTATGAAGCTTTTTTGCAATGCCTAAGCCACAGACGCAGCTGATGTGATGTATAAAACCGCATGAATGTTGTAAAGATATATTTACAGTAACTCATTTGCTAGACTTGATAGCAACACTGACGCATCTGATAATTTAACAGATTAATTTAACAAATAAAGTACTAGAATGTTTTAATTTAATTATTTTAGTGTTATATTTGCCTTTTCTGTTATTGATCATATTGCAGGTAAGCTAATTTTTGGTTCTGTTTTCATTAAGGCCTTTGAACCATTGTTAGTGTTTCCTGAAAAGTATATTTTCTTTGCGGCTTTGCCTGTTATTTGGTTCCTTATCATTGCTTTATCCGTTTATAAAAAAAAAAAAAAAAAAACATTGCTGTGTATAAGAGATCTGTGCCTTGTTGCGTTTGGATTTATTACAGAGTGGAGGAGGAGGAAAAGGCAGTAATTCTCAGTGGTGAAGGGCGAATCGCTGTCTTCTCCTACACCCTCCTCCTTCTGCATGTCCATCTGTTTCTTGTTTCATCACTTTTCTCTTCTTCTGCAGCTTCTCCTTTTTTTTTCTTCTCTACAAACTGGATACTTCTCAAACAAAGCCTACATCTAAATGACTTTTCTGATTGAAGGCCACAGAAAATACCACACCAGTCTCATATCTACTGGGAAAAAGCTGGACAAAGAGCTGGGATCTAAAACTGAAGCAATCTGTAGCCCCTCGCCCCCCTGCCCCACACACACACCTCACACAAAATGGAGCTCTAGGACCTATGTTAGGAGGTCCTGGGCTCAAAGCCCTCAAGATGGATTCATGACCCTATGGTTTCTGGGTCTTCTTTAAATTTACAAAAGAGAATGTTCTGAGAGGTCCAATAGCCAGTCTGGTATTGAGTGCTACTTCAGAGGGAAAATAAAGGTCCATGCAGAAAAGCCCAAAACATCATGATGACACAGTAACAAGGTCCTTTATTTTTCACAAAATATGTCAATACAGTCACTTCTCAGAATTCGAACACAATCTGTCCCAAGACAGCGATCAAATTCCAAATCAAGTTGCAAGCAATTTTTTTCAACTGAAAATAATGGAAACTAAATAATCCATTCCAGGTGCTAATCCTTCAACCCCCTCTTCCTCCCCTGCAATTTCTTCCTTCTGCTGCTGGTGAAGATGCTGAAGCTCTTGCGCTGACAGCTGGCACATGCCAGGTGTTCAAGTTCCGGGGTAACATTTACTTGAAAAGTTTGTTCAGATTCCAAGCTGTTCCAGCAATCGAATTCCAAGGTAGCACTGTAACCATTATTATACAATCATGTGCACTATTTCTACCCATACACACATACAAAGATTGCAAACCACCACACATTGCACTTTAAAAGAACTAGTATACACTTTTTATTATCTTAGACCAACAAGTCTTCTCACTTCAGTCATTGTCTTGTCAGCAAGAACTGAAGCTTTTGCTGCTCCACTGTGTAAAACATCCAAGAGATATTTAGGGTCTTTCTGATATCTCAATACCTGTGCCCTGATAGGAGATAATTTTTCAATGATCACCTCTGCCAGTCGTTGCTTATACATGTCTGTATTCTCAGCACAAAGAAATGACTCTTCCACAATTTCGTCTACAGACAATTCAGTCAATGCCATATGAATTTCAACAAGATTAGACACTCCAGGCCGGTTTTCAGGATCATATGTCACTTCTGAAGTGAAATCTGTGACAGCTTTCTTTATTTTCTCCTTGATCTGGTCAGGTGTGTCCAGAAGTTCTATTCGGCTGTTCACATTAACATCCGACTTGCTCATTTTGTTCAGTGGATTGCGTAAACTCCGAATTTTAGGCACTTCTCCTGATAAAAATGAAGGAGAAATAAGAAAAGAATGTGTAAATAACATTTTTTTTTTTAAATGCAGACATATCAATTTGTGTAATTGTTATAAATAAACAAGACAGGGACTGCTCAGTACTTTGCAAACATCTGGTATTAGTTAAATCACAGAAAATCAGCACTCAAACTTCCCACACAGAGGCCTAGTCAATTCTTGATTTTATGGTGGTGTCTATGTTATTTATTTTAGAATGACTATTTGAATGAGTAATCATGAAATGATATAAAACCAAATGAATAGTAGAACCAGTCAACTTCAAAATAACAAACACGAATGACAAGTAAATGTTACAGCTAGAGTACTTTCATCAGCACATTAAATAAATCTACAATACCACATGTGTGAATAACAATACATTAACCCCTTAACTATTGTATCTCTGACAGAAATTATAGTTCTGTCTGTCTGGCAAGCAGAAAATCTGACACACGTGTGGCCACCAGAAATCAACACTTGTCAGAAACATCTGTAAGCGACAAGGGCTGTAAATCTGCTCTATTCTTTCCAATGAGTAAACAGCGGCCATTGCCCAAGCTGCCAGCTGTAGCTGTCACCCAGAAAATAATGTGGATCTTCTCAGATGGCCAGTAAGCAAAAAAAAGCTGTAATTATTGAATGTGGAGAGGCTGGCCAGAGAAGACCCCTCAATCTACACTGAACTGTCAGCTGAAGCTAAACAGGTATATCAGAAAACTACAAACAGGCATCTGAACCTTGTCAAATTACTTCCTATTACCACTTGGTCTTACCATTCACTTGAATTTTCATAACTAGCATCAATGATAATCCAAATGTTTGTTTTCTGTATATTTATGTTTAAGCCATTTCCATTTATACATTTTATCTACTCGTTTTCAACCAATCAAAAGGTGACGAAAATAAACACATTGTGAAAACCAGTTTATAGCATAAAAAAGCATGCCTTCCTCTAGAGTCCTCAAATTAAAATATTATGCATACCCACAAATAAATGGAGAAGATTTGAACAGAGATGAGAAATACACCCCCAAAAAAAAAAACATTGTAATAGAAATAAAAAGACAAATTACTAACAAGTATTTTCACAATAACACTGTCTTGTCAATGCAAATTTGGACTCGAACAAAAACAAATAATGATAGGTAACATCATGTGAAATGTGGTGCAAAACAAAGAGGCTAGCATTTCATATGACATAACTCAGAAAGTTAGACTGATGAGAACAGAGAACTAAATAGATAACTGGCTACATACATAATATTTTAACAACAGGCAGACGAACATAAGAAAAGACTTATCTGATGGATGGACAGACAGACAAGACATACAAACAGATCATCAAACACTGCTGATAATCACCTGATATTATATCACATACTGGAAACACTTCACCATGGACACGGTTAAATCGCACGAGTCAAGTCTCTTGTCAATTCAATATGGTGGATTTGATCTTCTCCCACTGGTACAAGTGATGCTCTTGTTTACAAAAAAATACATATAGTCAGCAAGAAAGTATTCACTAGATATTAAAAAACTAACCAATGCAGATCTAAGGTATTTTCATCATCATAACTGTCCTGTCGTACCATTATATGTCACATAGGGCCCAAAATCAATTCCCCTATTCTGTTTTATCCTGTGCATTCCCTTCCATGTCACATAGGGCCCAAAATCAATTCCCCTATTCTGTTTTATCCTGTGCATTCCCTTCCATGTCACATAGGGCCCAAAATCAATTCCCCTATTCTGTTTTATCCTGTGCATTCCCTTCCATGTCACATAGGGCCCACACTCAATTCCTTCATTCTGTTGTATCCTGTCCAATCCCTTCCATGTCACATAGGGCCCACAGTCAATTCCTTCATTCTGTTGTATCCTGTGCAATCCCTTGCATGTCACATAGGACCCACAGTCCATTCCTTCATTCTGTTGTATCCTGTGCAATCCCTTCCATGTCACATAGGGCCTACAGTCAATTCCTTCATTCTGTTGTATCCTGTGCAATCTCTTCCATGTCACATAGGGTCCACAGTCAATTCCTTCATTCTGCTGTATCCTGTGCAATCTCTTCCATGTCACATAGGGCCCACAGTCAATTCCTTCATTCTGTTGTATCCTGTGCAATCTCTTCCATATCACATAGGGCCTACAGTCAATTCCTTCATTCTGTTGTATCCTGTGCAATCTCTTCCATGTCACATAGGGTCCACAGTCAATTCCTTCATTCTGCTGTATCCTGTGCAATCTCTTCCATGTCACATAGGGCCTACAGTTAATTCCTTCATTCTGATGTATCCTGTGCAATCCCTTCCATGTCACATAGGGCCCACAGTCAATTCCTTCATTCTGTTGTATCCTGTGCAATCCCTTCCATGTCACATAGGGCCTACAGTCAATTCCTTCATTCTGTTGTATCCTGTGCAATCCCTTCCATGTCACATAGGGTCCACAGTCAATTCCTTCATTCTGTTGTATCCTGTGCAATCCCTTCCATGTCACATAGGGCCCACAGTCAATTCCTTCATTCTGTTGTATCCTGTGCAATCCCTTCCATGTCACATAGGGCCCACAGTCAATTCCTTCATTCTGTTGTATCCTGTGCAATCCCTTCCATGTCACATAGGGTCCACAGTCAATTCCTTCATTCTGCTGTATCCTGTGCAATCCCTTGCATGTCACATAGGGCCTACAGTTAATTCCTTCATTCTGTTGTATCCTGTGCAATCCCTTCCATGTCACATAGGGCCCACAGTCAATTCCTTCATTCTGTTGTATCCTGTGCAATCCCTTCCATGTCACATAGGGCCTACAGTTAATTCCTTCATTCTGTTGTATCCTGTGCAATCCCTTCCATGTCACATAGGGCCCACAGTCAATTCCTCCATTCTGTTGTATCCTGTGCAATCCCTTCCATGTCACATAGGGCCCACAGTCAATTCCTTCATTCTGTTGTATCCTGTGCAATCCCTTCCATGTCACATAGGGCCTACAGTTAATTCCTTCATTCTGTTGTATCCTGTGCAATCCCTTCCATGTCACATAGGGCCCACAGTCAATTCCTTCATTCTGTTGTATCCTGTGCAATCCCTTCCATGTCACATAGGGCCTACAGTTAATTCCTTCATTCTGTTGTATCCTGTGCAATCCCTTCCATGTCACATAGGGCCCACAGTCAATTCCTCCATTCTGTTGTATCCTGTGCAATCCCTTCCATGTCACATAGGGCCCACAGTCAATTCCTCCATTCTGTTGTATCCTGTGCAATCCCTTCCATGTCACATAGGACCCACAGTCAATTCCTCCTTCTGTTGTATCCTCTGCAATCCCTTCCATGTCATGGATGGATTCCAGTCTAGCCCCTTTGGCTTCTCTCATTCAATGTTTGTTTTAGGGCTTCTTTTCGACATCCTTGCCTCCTCAATCACTTTATTTCCCATTTCATTATCTGTCTAGTGATTATCTGCTCGTTTCTTCTCAGGATGTGTCTGATACATATATAACTCTTGTTACCATTGGTTGCCCAGATATTTCTCTGATTTCTTCACCACACTTGAATTCATCTCATTTTATGTTCAAAATTTTTCTCAGGCATTTGTTTTCAGCTTTCATTTCATGTTTTTTTTTTTTTTTGGGGGGTTCTCCTACTTTTGCTACCATATGGTAATTAGAAATGAAAATACACAACTTGGTTTTAAAAACTTTACAATTTAGACTATGATATTTCGTTAGTCTTTTAATTTTAACCTTTTCACCCCTGTTTACGAGATGTGTAGTAAATGCTATTGGGTGTGTTCATGTTATGAGGTTACAAGGTCAGGATTTGAAAATATTATTTATAAATAGCCTTTAGCAGGGTTTTATTTAACCAAATTGTCTTTTTTTTGAAGTCATGTTCCCATCAAACTGTTCATAAACCTTGGTGATACAGGTCAGAGGTCACAGTATAAGTCATCTGATACATATTTTTTGGTCCTGTGACATGTATTCCGTTTAATGCTTCTCTCTTTTTATGTAGGGTGGTCTCAAGGCATGGTGTCCACCTCGAGTGCTAGAGGTTCTGGGTTCAATCCCCGGTAAGGGCTGGGAATTTTTTCACGTAGACTTGGATTTCTAGTAATTCCCCCTGGTCTCTGGGTAGTGAGATCGGATGCCCGTGTGCATTGTTGCGCACGTAAAAAATCTTCTGGCAGTTGGAAGTTGAAAAGAGTAGCCTAATGGCGCTGCCCGGGCAAAATTTGGAGTTAAACTCTACCTAAAGTATTTCAGGATCCTCACCAGTGCTACAGAACCTGTGCACTGTGTTAAGCTTCTTCGGACTCAGACTTGAGTTAGAAGAAGAACTGAGCACTTATGGGTTACTACCCCTGTGCCATGATGTTGATCCGTTGTTAAAAACCTCTATTCCTGTTTATTGAATACTCCTTTTATATATCTTTATATATTTGTTTTGGAGAAAAATGTCTTCTTTTTCTTCAGCATTTTGAGCCCTTGAGGTTCATTGCTGCAGATATCACTCGCCTCCATTCATCTCTCTGGTTGGCCTTCTTTTTCTAGTTGATGACACCAAGTGTTTGCTGGTCTGTCTGGACATTATCTCTCCATCGTCTTTTTGGTCTGCCTTGTGGTCTACGACCATTTATCTCCCTTGTGTATACAGTTTTTACTTCTCTGTCATCTGACATTCTCTCAATATGCCCCAGCCATTTCAGTCTATAAGATCTCATGATGCCAGTGTTCAATGGAAAATTTACATAAGCAAATTTTTTTAACATTTAGTAGTGAATTGATGACCCTTTTTGAAGCATTTTTTAGCATTACTGCGGTGAAAAGATTGAAATTTGGTTAAGCTTTGCCAGTGGGTGTCATAAATAATGTTTTTTTTATTTCATTGACTTAAAAAATTACTACCCAAATAAGTAATATCTTAATTCTTTTTTGTCTCTAGCATTACATCTGCTAAGTCTGTTATTGAGTCTTCAATATGTTTGTATTTTCATAACTTATTTGTAGTCCAACTTTTGATGCCATATTCTGCTTTTCTTTGCATGTCCTTGTTTTCATTTAGCAGAGCAATATTGTCAAAAAAATCGAGATTTTCAATACTAGTTAGTTAGTTAGTTGGGTTATCATCATTGCACTCCGGACATGTCCATAGGTACTCAGATCCTCCCCTCTGTATGAACCCCGTCCGATGGCTAATAGTACCAGTTCTATGTTGATTAACAAGTCTTCTATTGTGTCTGGTGTACGTCTCATTTTTTGCTATGCCGATCTTAATTCCCAAGTCTGCCACTCTGGCAAGTGATGTGGATACTATGTGTTCTCCAAAACATTTATTTGCCATTTAACACATAACAATTATTATTACTGCACCCTTAAACAAGGTATATGGCCTTTTTTGCTCTGTCTGGTACAAACTTATAAGGACACTGCCCCCCCCCCCCTCTTTTTTCCCACCCATGATTTCTTGGTTATAGTCAGCTAAACCTGAAAACATGACCAGTGCTATCTGTCCCCTTTGAAATCATATCATCTGAGCTGAAATGCTATAGAAGGTTTATACACCATGGACAAAGAAGAGAAGAAATACTGATATTTTTAAGGGAGATTGGCTAATAAACAGCATCTTGTCTCAGAAGCTGAAATATTCTGGTCATATCAAATGCCACAGCTGACTGGAAAAAATAATAGCAGAAGGCACGGTACTAGGAAGGAGAGGCAGGGGCTAACCAACACGAAGATGGGCACAGGATATAAGTGACTCCTTGAATATGAAAGGTACACAAGGCAGAAAAGCTGGCGAGACATCGAGTTTTGTCAGGCAGACTGTGAGGAAAGGGACATTTTGCAAAGAAACTGCTACAAGATGATGATTATATCACATAAAGCTCCACCCTTGCAGTGATAGCATTACATGTATATGGTGACATGCCAGACATGCAAGATTTGCTTGTCTGATGTTTTTGTGTTTTTGGATAACTGTATTTTATTATGTCACTCAGAAATGCAGTACACTGAATCACTGTTGACAAAATCATACACTTACTTGTACAGCATTATGTCAGCAGCCTGCAAAACTGGGTACGTGAGTAAACCAACACTGGGGTCCTTTACTTTTTCTTTCTTTTCCTGAAACAAGAAACGCCCAGTTTGAAAAGGGAAATAATCTTGAGGAAGCTGCATATATTTCTTCTCTATTTTCAATCAAAACTGACAATATGTGGTGTGCCAAAATCTCTGGTAATTATTAAAAAGGATAAACAATGTTTATCATGGTGAGGTTAATTTTTATGATGGGTGAAAATGGTATTCAAGAGAAAGAATCACAATGTTCTGGGTATTCTCTGTAGGTGTTTTTGTGTGTGTGTGAGAGAGAGAGAGGCCCATTGGAAATAAAGTTTATTCCTTCAAATATTTCCCCCCCCCCCCCCCCAATCTTACATTCACTCACAAGGACAGAACAAACATAATTAATGATTACACAGTGTCTACCTTCCACTCTGGTAATTATCTAAAAGGATATTCAATGTTTGGTAAGGTTAATTTTTATAATGGATGAAAATGGTATTCAAGAGAAAGAATCACAATGTTCTGGGCATTCTCTTTCTCTCTTTCTCTGTGTGTGTGTGTGTGTGTGTGTGTGTGCGTGCGTGTGAGAGAGAGACCCATTGGGAATAAAGATTATTCCTTCATATATCCCTCCTCCTAAATCTTACATACACTCACTCACAAAGACAGAATAAACATAATGTAACATTGTCTACCTTCCACTGAGGAAGCCTCTGCAGCCTGGGAACTGTACACAGACAGGACAAGATCCATGCCAGTTCAGTGTGAGCAGGCACCTGAAAGTTAGACATGATTTAATTGAAATCTAAAACAAATTTTACTTTCATTCTAATATGATCACAAATTATAATAATCGCTCTGAACAGGTTAGTGTGTATTCCCTTATACACAGCATCCGGACAACAAAAGACTCGAGTTTTATAACAAACTTTGTTTTATGCCTCACAAACTCTAACATTTGTTTTTCTAGTTATGTTGTTTATCCATCTTTATTTATTTTTTTTTTAAACCTTTCTGAGTGATGCTGCTTTTTTGCCCAGCACTATTTGTGACTGTGATGAAGAGTAGTTTAAAGAAATAATATTGCCAGTTTGGGGAAGAACACTAAGATCACTCTGAAATATAAAATGCCAAAAGAAGCAAACTTAGCAGTCCTTACATCCAGTAAGTAAAAGTAAAGGACCCTTTTCCCCACCTTCAGGCGTACTGGCCATACAGGGTTAGACCTATATTTTATAGACTAATCGGCTATTGGTGGGTCATGTGGTCAGCATCACGCCGGCCACCCTTACTTCCCAGGACGTGTACCTGGTACCCACTCAAGACTGAGTCAACCTTGGAGCCAAGGTCATTTGTGAAAAAGTCCTGCTCCATCAGGATCTGAACCTATGACTTTTCGATCTGCAGGTGAGCGTCTAGCCGCCAGACCACAGTGACTCCCATACATCCAGTAGTGAAACATAAAGGGAGATGGTGTCAATGCTAAATCAATTTGTTGATGTGTTTAGGAAAGTAAACTGTGCTATATGTAAACAAATCCACTCACATGTGGGTACAACATCCTGATAATGAAAGAGACTAGGAGTGCGCTAAAGAAACTGGTCCTTTAAATGAAAGCTATTCACTGTTTTAACTCTTGAGTGACAGCAATTACGCAGAATTCTATTAAAAATAGAAATCTTATTCAGAATCAAGTTTTTCTGACAAAGAAATGGTTTTAGGTGGTGTACAGGCATGGAAATGTAAACAGTTATAAAATGCAAAGTATAGGCCTGCTTTACGAGGGTACAACAGTAACAATAATTCATGAATCAAATATATGTCTCATATAGTAAATGAGTGGCCATGTTGCTATCAAAAAGGCAGAGAAGGTACTAATTGAATAGGATGAATGAACAGGAAAATTACTGGACTGTAAGACAACAAATCAAATCAATAATATCTCTATGTTTAAAAAAAAATTGAACATATCAGTACGATGTTAGGCTTACAGAGGTGCATGTATATTTACTGATTACTAGCTACTGGTGAGTACAATTAGGTTCAAACAACATCCCTCAACAAAAGACACCAGTAAACATAAAATACCACAGGTTTTTTTTTGTTTTAATAATTAAAGAAAAGAGTGTACATCTGGGCTGCAGGCATCAGAGCAATACTCAAGGCTTGTCCGGACAAACTCTAGGGCTGATGGCATAAGATACAGCAACTCAAAAAGTCTCAAGAAAACAGACACTGATGAACTATCCAAGCCATTTAACAACAGCATAAAAACTGGCACTGTCTCTGATGACTGGCTTTATAGCTACCTCAGATACATTTCTAAACCTGGGAAAGCTCATGCAAAAATAAATGGCTTCAGAATCATTACACTCCAGAACACACAATAAAAACTCAAGGGAAAACAACTGTGGCCAGAACGGTGACACAAAAAATGAGAGTCAAGTGATCTTTTGGCTACTACACTAGGTGGCCACGGTCCAAACACTGATACCTGGTGCAGTAGTGCAGTATTTGCTTATATGTACAGGGGTTTTGATGCAGGAATGGAAAGTGCTGTAGCCACCACTGAGTTATAAGATGTGTACAACAGCATCCCATACAACCTACTCTTCAGACTACCAACGAGCATGCACAAAGCAATAAAATGGGTCACTGGATCACAGCAGCGCTCTTTGAAAGAACAGTGTCGCTGTGATGCCGTACATGGTCAAAAAATCTCAGTGAGTTTTAATGGCTTAGCCCCACCAATGTCACCTGTTCTCTTCAATGTCTACACATCAGGAGTTACGAGTGCACAGATAGCAGACCTGGAGGGAACCATGACATTGGTAGATGACATCCTTGTGTACCAACAAGAAAGAAACAGGGGCATGAAACTACAGTATTACCCTACGGATGCCTGAGGTGAAGATCGGGGTATTCCCTTATACACAACATGATGGTCTTAACTTTTCCTCACGTGACTTAAATCACAGCACTACAAACAGGATTATGAAAACGTACAAATGAAGTAGCCCAATGTGTTACTCTCCTTATCTTGTTTTCTTCTTAAGGTGCTTTGGAATAATGTATTTATAGATAAACAATTCCAAGATTTTGTTGATTTTTAGAAGTCCTAGGGAGAAAATCAGTTTTCTTTTTTTTTTACACATGTTTACGATGTACTTGTTTATTTTAATTTTCTTTTTATGTCTTCATTTATTAAATGGCTTGTATCTACCTTTACCTTTAAGGGTTGTTTCCTACTGTATTTATGAAACCCTATGGTCTGTGTCCACATGTAGTTTAAGCATGGACAAGACAGGAAACCAAAATTCCGATGGTACCAGTAACTGTCTGATTGTATATCTGTCTGCCCTTTCCCCTGAGTGTCCAGCGTCGGTCAGATCCCCTTGTAACTCCTTGCAGTACCATTCTTCTCAGACCGCAATGATCTATCTGATCCTCGGCACTGTTCACTCGCTCCAAAATGGGCCCTCACAACATCCAGCTTGTCATACATCAGCTCACCATCAAGTGGTGCAGAACTGGCCAGTCTATCTGCCTGCTCATTTCCCAACACACCGGCATTACCTGGAGAAAATAATCAAAGGATGCTAACTACCCGGGACCTCTGAAGTGATGCTTGCAACACTGCACGGAGCAGGCCTGTCTCCACCTTTCTCAGCATGCTCTGTGAGTCAGTTACAATGACGACATGTGTGTACAACTGATTCTCAAGCCAGCGGAAGGCAGCAGTGACTGCCTCCACCTCCATTCACAAACTAAACGTACTGATATCATATGCAAAGCTGTGTTGCACCAAGTGATGTCCATTCGCCTTCACTATGAACCCCAATGCACTTTGTCTGCTCCTCAACACAGAGCCATCTGTATATACAATTAATAATAAACTGTTTAGTGTCTGAATGATAAATTTCACTGTGTATGGACTTGAAACAATTATGAGAGATTTGAGATATGTTTGTTTTGCATAATCCTATCAAAACTGATAAATGACAATAACCAGCAACAAATGAGTGACTTATACTACAAAAAATCAATTACAGTACCCATGTGGATTCTGGGGCCTCGTTGTGGGGAAAACAAGAACAGACCCACTGCCTACCCAATAAGCATGTCCTAAGAGTCAACTAATTGGGGCTTTCTTTGAAACTGGAGTGCATCTGCCTGAGAGGTAAGGAACTAACAGTCTGCTTACAAATAAGTTAGGTTCTTTTCTCCAGGCTATGCCGGCACGGTTAGTAATGAACAGGCAGACAGATTGGCTGGATCTGCAACACTGGGTGGTAAACTGATACATGACAAGACAGATGTGGTCAAGGCCCTTTATGAACAAGCAATGGAATCAGAAGAGAAAGAAGATTATTATGGCCTGGAGAGAATGAGGCACCTGGGTGTAACCAGAGGGTCTGGCTGGCTGACTACACTCAGAGGAAAGGCAAGACGGACTTTTAACCAGATTGTGACAGGTACCATCAGTATTGGAACTCTGCGCTGGCTGCTGAAGATGAGGACAGAGCATGCATGGGAATGCCCAAAGTGCTGTGATGTTAATTCTTGACTCAACATAAGTCAGGTTCTGGAGCAACAGTAAAGTCCAGAGGCTGATGAACAACCAACTTTCCGCCAAAGTTTAAAGCCGGTGAATGCAAAGAAGAAGAAGACAATTACAGAATTTATGTAAAGTATAGCTATTCATAACTTGTGCAGACCTACCAATGACTGCTGAAAAAGAATGGTCTTTTCTGGATCAATACCACACGCTAACAAACAAGCTGTCATGTCAAGGGTGTTCTGTCTGGGGAAAAAATGGAAATGTCAAGAAAATACAATCATTTTACAGAAACAAAGATTCTCAAACAGAATTGAAAGCATCTAATCATCAGCGATCCAGTACTATAAATGATAATTACTATGAGACACCAATAACAGGTCAAGCAGATGAAAGCATAGAAACAAAGAAAATAATTAAAGTAACAATACACTTATTTGGGCAGTAATTTTGACGGTTAAAGAAACACAAACATGGCAATTTTTAAAAGCTTGAACAAAATATTGAACTCTAAATAAATAGTTTTAGAACCACATTACGCATTTTTAATTCTATTGTTTTTTTCAGATTAACAAATGCTAGTGAAAGTTGGAGAACTACTAAAGATATGGAAAGAAAGTTAAATGCATTCAAATACAAATTTCTGAAAAAAATTAAGAACAAAAATTTGATGAATTCAAGAAGGTGAAAAAATAAGGGAAATGTATGGGAAACCACCAGTATCAACAGTTAGTTATAAGACAGAAAAGATGGCGCTATACTGGACACCTTCTGAGAGTAGAGAGAGAATCAACATACTCTGAACTGGGAAATAGAATGGCTCAGGAACAAGGACAACCTTAAGGTGAACTTTGATGAGGGAAGCCAAAAGTGTTGACCTTGATTCCATCATGATACTGAAGTGATTGCACAGAATGGAAAAATAAACTGTGAGCCCTATGTGACATATAATGGCCCAACAAGACAATGAATGAATGTCAGCCTACGTCCCTCTACCTGCCACAAGAGTAAGTGGTCTTGCTTTCACTTTTCAATAATTCCAATCAGTTGTTTGCGTTCACTGGCTGTAGACACTGGCAGAAAGACCTGGTTGTTCGTTCATTTCTGAACTTTGGCTTTGTTCCAGGACCTGAGTTTTGCATACGCATCCGTTTTAAAGATTTTGCTTATTTGTATGCAGACTGTAGGTTTCTTACTGCTCAGGCAGATGCACTCCAACTTTGATGCAAGCCCCCTATTAGCTGACTCTCCCCCAATTACCCAACTCTAATGATACATATGTTGAAGAGGCAGTAGGTCTATTCTTGTTTTTCCCAAAATAGGACCCCAGAACCCATACGGAGATATTTTCTATTTTGATTTAACTGTAGTAATTTGACAAAGGATTTGACAATCCGAACTACTGTAAAAACAGACTTACACTTTGCATTTTCTAAATGTTTACATTCCCATGCCACAAAAACCATTTCCTTTCAGAATTAAAAGTCGTCAGAAGAAACTGGCCTCGCAAAACAATCCAGAGATTTAAATTTACTGTGTGCATTGCAGTGTTCAATGCTTACCTTAAGTGTTCACAATTCTGTGGCAAAGTGATGGAATGAAGGTCAACAATGCTGAGCAAAATATTGTCTGGATATTGATGCTGGAGCTTCACCCAGTTACTGACAGCACCTGCATAATTACCAATATGAGGAATTCCTGTTGGCTGAATTCCAGAAAACACCCTAGGTTCAAATCCAGACAGACAATCTGTTTGCTGAAGACATGGGGATAAAGACAATTAATGTTAAATGTTAAAATTTTTCAAGAGCTTCATTTAAAATACTCTTTTACAATTAAAGAAACTATTGACAAAATTTACAATACTGCATCATGAATCAATCACTTATATATAAAAGTATAACACATCGGGTGATGTTTTGAAGCTCCCACCGGGTATGAGTCTAATGTAAAGGAGCAATTACAAATATACTTCAAATGAAACCCTTAAAAGTGTTATAAAAAGTTGAATAACCATGCCACTGTCTTTTAACCTGTCATTTTTGTTCTCAAGGATGTCAAGAGTGTTAAACTTACAATAGATTATGCCCCCTAGGGTTTGCCCACATTCATCTTTGCCCTACACTACAAATGCCAGACACATGGTCATGGTCAATCACAACATGCCAGAAAAAAATAAAAAAGTTTATTAACCATGGAAATATTTTACATTGGATTTATAGACTATGAAAAAGCATTTGACAGCATTGATAGGGAATCTCTATGGAAATTGATGGGGCACTATGGAATCCCACAGAAAATTATCAACTTAGTAAAGGCAACATATAAAGACATGAAATGTCGAGTTCTTCATGAGGGAAAGCTAACAGATGCATTTGAAATAAAAACAGGTGTGCGACAGGGATGTCTTTTGTCGCCTCTCTTATTTTTACTGGCTATAGACTGGACTATGAAAACAGTAACTGTTAACACCAAGAATGGAATTCAGTGGACCCCTACAAAACAGCTTGATGATCTGGACTTCGCTGATGATATTGCCCTTCTGTCCCATTCACGGAATCAGATACAAGATAAATTGAATATACTTAATGCGAGATCACAGCAGCTTGGTCTGAAAATCCATAAAGGAAAGACAAAGATAATGAGAATAAATCAGGCAAATAGTAATGTGGTTTCTCTTAATGGCACCCCACTCCAAGACGTGGAGTCGTACACCTATTTAGGCAGTAATGTAGATAAAGATGGAGGAACTGATAGAGATATTAAAATAAGAATACAAAAGGCAAGAGGGGCTTTCATAGCACTAGGGAATTTGTGGAGGTCAAAAGAAATTAAAAGAAATACTAAACTAAACATTTTTAATTCTAATGTCAAATCAGTACTATTGTATGGGGCGGAAACATGGAGAACAACCAAGGCAATTACTAATAAATTACAGACATTCATTAACTGGTGCCTGCGCAGAATAGAGGGAATAAAATGGTATGATAGAATAACTAATGTAGAACTTTGGGAGAGAACTAAACAGGCTCCAGTGGATCAGGAGGTGAGGAAAAGACGCTGGCGTTGGATAGGGCACACACTGAGAAAACAGAACAGCATAACTAGAGTCTTTGCATTGGAACCCACAGGGGCATAGGGGCAAAAAAACACATGGAGAAGAGAGAATGAGGTTAGAAAGATTGGGAGGACATGGGGAGAGCTCCATGTAATGGCGAAGGATAGAACGACTTGGCGTGAGTTGGTTGAGGGCCTATGCTCCATTGGGGGATAGAAAGGCAGAAGAAGAAGAAGAAGAAATATGATGGCTCGACCACCATCATAGATAGATTAAATACATCGTACTGAATTGTTGTAGGGTTTTTTCTGATGTTATCAACTGTTATCTTTGCATCTTATTCTTGGCCTGTGGAGTATGGTCTGGCGTTGCAAGACATTCTGCTAGTAGGAGTGAGCACACAGCACTCTACCCTTATAGTACCGGATACCGACTAGACACCCAAAGGGGGGGGGGGGGGGGGGGGGGGTGAAGAAGAACATAATTAATATCTTGGCTCTACTCCGAATAACGGTCCCAAATTATCTACGCAGAAAGTAAACCCTAACAGAGCCTTATTACGTCCAGCCCTACAAACATTTAAAAGTTCTAGCTCGGAAAAAATAAGGAACGAAAAGTATAAGGAAAAGGGCGAAGTCTACTACTTAGCGACAGTTAAATCCTTTATATGTAAAAATTGGGGGCACAGAAGTTGCAAATAGTGCGCAAATATCTGTTCTTTCTGGCTGTCCGCCATTCCAACTCACCCGAAAAAGATGGGAACAGGACGCGACTTGTCCGCGATTCTCGTTCTGGGCGAGACATAATCAGTAATGCGCATTTTAATGTACGCGCATGTCGCCTCTGGAGAACTTCAAACCAGCATCCGCCACTATGGCGCTTCCCTATCCCGACCACCCCTTGACCATGGCGAATGCGACCACGCTGCCAGTTACGACGGAAGAAGTAGCTCATGACTTTTTTCGGGCGACTATAGTGCCACCTCCGAGTGTATCCCCTGCGCCGCTACGCGCGGTGCGGAAGGGGCTAAACTAGATGGCTAGGACTCACGAGCAAATACAACGGAGGAAGCTGCAGATGAAGCGGTAGCTGCTGCTCGTGAGTCCCAGCCATCTAGTTTAGCCCCTTCCGCGCGTAGCGGCATGGGGGATACTCTAGGAGGTGGCGCTATAGTCGGCAAAAAGTGGTCCGTAACTTACATATAACTGAGGCCGTGCTGTAGGATAGCGCTATCGGGAGTATTCTTGCGTGTCGCTAATTTTTCGTCCGTAGTTAATCCTAGTTTTGCAGCCGTTTAATCGTCGTAAAAAATCAGTTGCGTTTCGCGAAAATGTCGTGCGCAATTAATCCTACTTTGGCGCTTCTTTGAATCGTTCCCCAAAATGGCGGCTGTAATATGATGGCGTTCAAAAAGGAGCTAAATTGGCCAATTTCTCGCCATAAAATATCCAAAAATATCCGAATGCGGGGTCAGTTCTATTAAAAATATATGTGCCGGCTCCGAATAACGAAACAAATGCTCTGACAGGGTCTGGGCGATACGTTGCTTGCCGACCTGCTTCTGCGAGTGTGCCTCACCGCCGAGAGTATCCCCTGCGCCGCTATGCGCGGCGCGGATGGGGGCTAAACTAGATGGCTGGGACTCACGAGTGGCAGCTACTGCATCTCCTGCAACTTCCTCCAATTACTGTACTCGTGAGTCCCAGGCACCTAGATACGCTCGGCGATGAGTTTAATCGCGTTTGGCGCATGCCGACAAGTCTGACATCTACCGCTCCAATCGGAAAAACACAGTATTGCTAATCGGCTTTCATCGTCTGTAATGTCTCGAAATTGGTCAACGGTCGCTAATATCGTCTGCTAGTATCGTCGTCTGCAGAAACGCTTGAAATTTTTGTCAACGGTCGGTATTTATTGTCTGCTACTAGTACCGTGTGCAAATGTTGATATTGGTTGTCAAGTAATCCTAGTTTTGCCGCGATTTGTTCGTTGGCAGAAAGTCCGTATTTTAGATAATAGCGAACACCGTCGTTCGGATATTTTTGGATATTTTATGGCCAGAATGTGGCATGCCGCCATTTTGGGAATAAATCAAAGAAGCGCCCCTACTTTTGACAGGGTTGATTCGCCGCAAAAAATATGCGAATTTTTATTTTAGATATTAGTGTAGATAATTTGGGACCGGTATTCGGAGTAGAGGCAATTTCTTCTTCTCTTCCACTCTGTACTTAATCAAAGTGTCGGGGGGGGGGGGGAGAAAAGTAACATTCGTTGATGAGCTCTGTCAAGAGCACTTTTAAGACTGATTGAATTGATGTTCAACTTCATTGCTGTAAGGCTGTTCTTTATGCCATCACTCCATCAGAATCAGTAACGTGAAACATACATAATCTGTCTTACCTGCGTGCGTATCTGAAGTATATGTAATAAATTGTTTAATTTCTTGAATCTTCTAGAAGAACCATTAACTAAAATGTTCAAGTTTGACCGACAGCAGCAGGCGATGGACAGCGCCATTTTGTTTTTGTTGAGTTCTGTCCCTTATTCGAGTAGCAACAGTGAGGCCCAAGAATGTTAAATTAAGAATCGACATTACAGCCTTCGGAACACTCCCAGAAGCGTCCAGTACCCATCTTCAGCAGCAAGTGAAGAGTTCAAATTTCGCTAACACAGTAACTGTCTGAGTGTATATCTGTCTCGCCTTTTCTTTGAGTGTTGAGCGTCGGTCAGATCCCTCGCAGCGCCATTCTCCTCATACCGTAATGATCTATTTATGCCTCAGCACTGTTCACTCGCTCTTAAGGGCCCTCACAACATCTAGCTTGTCATACATCAGTACAGCACTAAGTCGTGCTGAGCCGGTCAGTGTATCTGCCTGCTCGTTTTGTAACACATCGACATGACCTGGAGAAAATATCCAAAGGGGGCTAATTACCCGGGACCTCTGAAGCAATGCTTGAAACTGTGCACGGAGCATGCCTGTCGCCACCTTTCTTAGCATGCTCTATGATTCAGTTACAATTTCGACATGTTTGTACAGGTGATTCGGAAGGCAGCAGTGACTGCCTCCACCTCCCTTCTCAAACTAGACGCAGTGATTTTATATGCAGGTTTTTCTGCACTAAGCGACGTCCATTTGCTCTCAAAATATAGCCATCTTTATAGATAATCACATCACCTGTCATGATCATTTGTTGAACTTCTGATTCTGCAGCAACAGCTGGCCAGTCCCTGTCCATCTAATTGTGTCTTCAGCCTGCGCCATTCAAGACCTTCCTCTTTTAGTCTGCTATCTTTACTAGGCCCTTAGCTCTAGCTCTGTTTGCAGCTACTCTTAAGATATGTCTTTGCTTGCAGAACTTTGAGCCTGTATGCAATAGTAGGCAGTGCAAGTATATATCGCATACCTACTGCCTGGATCTCTCTTGTATACCCCAGAATTACCCTTTGGATTTATTCTGTATGTATTCAGGTTTCAACAACTAAATCTATGATGAGGCAAGCATTCCGAGTCCATACTCTATAACCGATAGGATCATAAGCTGGAACATTGTGCACATCATTCTTTGTTCCATGTCCATTGGTGCCATAACCTTGAGAACATTGAGTCCTTTTCGAAATTTCACCTAAATTGCCTCTCGCGTGATCCATAAAGGACAGGTTTCTATCGAAAATTTTACCCGGGTACCTCAGTTTGC